ACATAAATAAATACATATATATATATATATACATATATCGGCACATATAAACGGCACAATAAATAAATAAATACACTTAAAATTCACAAAATAATTTTAAGAAGCAGAACTCTACCTGACACCTGTTACCTGCAGCAGGTTGTTAAAATTGCTCTGTTAAAAAACTCATCAAATTGCCAGAAAGTCCATGTCGGACTTCACAATGGAGAAGTTCTTCCTCACACAGAGTATGAAGGGCTTCAGAAAAACCTGCCCCTGAACAGAGCTCAATAAGTTTGAACAAATGACAGAAACACAGTGTGTGGGGTTTTAACTTATGTAGATGGTGGATGTGATGAACACTTTTTCAAACACACTGTTGACATAATTAACATTGATTTGGGCTACATTGGTCTCAAGGCCCTTAAACAACATGAACAACGAGTCTGTGTTTTTGTATACTGTGTATTAAAAATATACCCTCTCATCTCAGAGTGATTCACAGTCAGGTTGTTTCAAATTTCACAGGAAACTGGAGGTTCATTACTTTCTTCACCTTCTCAGATTTACTGGGGTATAAGACATTTCTGACATGGCACAACTCATAAACCTGGTATTAAAACACACAAATCTGTTCTTATTTAGGGGAAGTTATAAGATATTCAACTGACTCGATGACATCGGGTCACTGCGTTTCTCTGTTCTTTTGGTTATCAACAGATAGGGATGTTTTATTTCCAGGACAAGATCTGCTGGGAGTAATCATTCATATTTATATAACCTACTTTTTTCTTTAGATTTTATTTCCAAGGAGTCTGACTTTCTTGGGACACTTTTTGCTTTACAAACAGCACCCCATACTTTTAAAAATGTTTTCGTTTAGCGTTTTTTTCACAGTTTCTCTTTAGACCTTGCAGCTTTTTCACTCGTTTTCAGCCTAACTCTTGTGCTTGAGTCTGACCCTAATCGTTTCATTTGAAATGTGGGCTTTTATAAGAGAGAGGTTCCAGGGCTATAACAAAAATTAAAAGATGGCCACCACAGTCAACTGACATTCAAAAACACTAACAGGGATTTAACTCTATTTTTTTATGAATATTGACCTAAAATTTGATGAGGCAGTACCTGAGATTGATTTACAACACATACATTTTGCCATAACTATTTGGAGCCATCTCTATTAGCAAGTTACATCATAAACCGCTGGATGAAATTCAATGAAAAGTCCTTAATTTTGACATGATCACAAACACCCCCCTAGAATCACAGAAGCGTTTCATATGTGCAGCCAATCAGCTCGCCTCTTATAATTTAGGGCGGGGCTTAGTGAAACATTTCCCTTTTCTGATTGGTCAGCTGTGTGGCCCGCAACAAATCCAAACCTTTTATATTTACTTTTTCGAGATCCACGGTCCTCCCGCGCGGGTACAACCCAGCAGAGGCGGTGAGAGCGTAAAAAAAAAAAAAAAAAAAAAAAGACCTCACGTCACGTGACCACCTCTGACTCCCAACCCATCATTTGAGGAATAACAGGACTTTTGTCCGAATAGCGGCCTGTTTTGGCGCTTCTCGCCGGGCGACTTGTAACGGGGGTAAAAAGCGTAGGATGCTATTTAAACGAGCGGAAGGATTTTAGCAACATTCTCGGACTGAACGGGAGGTAAGACGCTTAAATCTGTGCTTTCTTTCATTCATTGCTAGCTTGTGATGGAGACAAATGATAATAATATTAATAATAAGCGATTAATAATATACTGCTTGTTGTAAAAACCTGGAATTTCGTTATTTAACGTGAGGAAGAGGAGGGAGCACCGACGGCTCCGTGACTCAGAGGCTGAAGGACGCCTCTCCATCCTTCAGCCTGCTCACGAAGCACCGTGTCCTCCCGCTGCTGCTGCTGCATCACCCGCCTCAACACAACCTCATTTTACACAGTCCGAGCACCACTGTGCATTAAATAAACCCACACGACAGAGCGGTTCTGAGTCCGTGTGTGTACCAGGAGGGAAAAAATGTCCTTCAAACTCCACCATATACATCCACCATGATGATGCACAGCCAGGGAGGAGGATATGCTACACGTATTTTAGTCAGCTGGTTCAATAAAGTCAAATATATAAGCTGTGCCTCCCTATAACACACATTTATTCCTCCTATAAGGTACATTTAAAGGAGCGTGACAAGGCCAGACTTACACAGCGCTAATATTCTGCTTATCACAGCTGATTTAACAGATCCATGATGGGTGGATGGCCTCTCAAACAGCTTCTTTTAATGCAGTGCTATCATAATAAGTTATGTTATTGCAGGGCTGATCAATGAGGCCTATAGTGGGCCTGGTGCTACGATCCTGGCTGCTATCGTGTATGTTTTTGTCCAGAGGTGTCAAACTCATCTTCAGCAGGGCCCATGAGCATCATGGTGGCCCTCAGAGGGGCAGCTGCAATTAATTTCAACATTTCATGTTTAACTTTGACTAAAAACACATCGATCTTTGTGTCGTTGCTACGATTGAGCACTGCTAATAAGCAATAATTGAGCTACGTGGTATTTCGTGCATAGAAACAGCATTTTTAACACATCCTCTTATAAACACTATACGTGTACGACTGACTAAATGTGAAACAAATAATACAGAAATGCCATTAAAAGTAAAAGTAAGAGAGTTTTACTCACTGTTGAGATGTGATAAGTAGCTGCCATCTTGAATTCTGAACTCTCCCACTTTCTGGTGGTGAATTCCCACTGGAGGTTCCAGTACAACTTTAAGTGGGAAAATCCCACTTCCTAGTACAACTGGGCTGCAGCAAACGTGACCAGCGAAAATGCATTGGAATGGAGATTTTGCTTTGACAAACAGGAGAACAGAACTGATTACTACTGCCTTAAATACTTATTATTATTATTATTATTTTAATGTTTTCCTCTCACACAGCTGGGGTTTTAAGTCCAAAGTCCTTCATTCAGCAGGCAGCTGAAGTCTGTGCTCCAGTTTGCAGTGAAGGAGAGCACCGAGCAGCGATCATGGCTGGTAAGAGTCAACCTCTCTGCTTCCTTCAGCTCTACGTTAAAGACAAACGTCTCTCCAGAACGTCTTTATGAGTTTGGTGTTAAATTCTCCTTCTGCGTGGTAGAAAACAACTTCCCTCCCCTGCCACGGTTCATCCCCCTCAAGCCATGCTTCTACCAGGACTTCAATGAAATCCCAGACCAGCGGCGCACCATGTGTAAACGGCTCTACTACCTCTGGCTCTGTGAGTCTTCCTGCAGGCAAAGGCCTGCTTCTTCTAGTATTTTAGCCTGAGTTGAGTTGATAGTATTTACATGGCTCAGTTTTATCAGGACAATAAGTGTTTTTTTTTTGTATTTATTGAGTGTTGAGTTATTCTTTGTAAGGATACCCGTCATTTAACCAGAGTTTTAACAATTTACTGTTTCATTCTTATTGTTCCATCTACTACTCATAGCTTGTGGTGAAGTAAGAATAAAAAAGTCTCAATGCTGAATATTCAAGTGACATGTTATTATAGTACAAATAATCACAGTACTAAATATCTAAAAACTTTAGGGCAAACATTATTATTATTTAATACTGCAAGAAACTGCTTTTAATCCGTAATACAGAATAAACATTATTTCAGTTAAAATAATAAAAATCAGTAATAAATAATCTAAATATAAATCATAGAATATAACAGCATATATCAGGTATGCAGTGAACAGTGAGACTGACCCTTCAGAAAGGCTTAAAAGATGCTTTTTAAAAGTTTTTTTAAGAAAAATGTTTCAACCAAAAGTAAATTTTAAGCCATCCATCCATCCATTTTCTTCCGCCTATCCGGGGTCGGGTCGCTGAGGCAGCAGCTTCAGAAGGGAGGCCCAGACC